AAAAAAAAAAAAAAAAAGAAAAGAAAAAAAGAAAAAGAAAAAGAGGTATCACAGAAGTAATAAGAACGGATAGAAGAAGAAAAAAAGAAGGGGTCTATCTGCCAGTGATGAGCCTCCAGCAATCGCTATAGCCAGTCCTGGTATCCGGAAACATCGTGGCTGATCGCTGACAGTCTCACAGTACCACAACGAGGTTATCGCTGTCAGATTATGGAAATGTTGAGCTTGATCACAGGTAACCCAACAGGAGAGCCATAGAGCCAGCAGCGAGCGCAACGGGTATGCTGGCATCAAAGGTTCCAGCAGCGGAGTTCAAAGTAGCTGATGGACTGGTTGTGTCGGTTGAGCTAGTCGGCGTAGTACTAGAATGGTGCGCATGGCTGGAGGTCACAGAGCCCGTAGGGCTTGGGGAAGAGCTGAGAGGAGTGGCAGACAGGCTCTCAGCGGCGGTTTCAGCGGTAACACGGTAAACCGTTTGAGTGATCGTATTTGTCGCCGTTGAGGTGACGACGGTGTCGGCAGCGACAAGCTGGGTCGCAGAGAGGCAGAGAACGGATGCGATAGTGGTGACCTTCATTCTTTCGGCGCTCAAGCTGAGTGGCTATAGAAAATCTGGTATGCGACAAGGGAATGGCGAGAGGCCTTTAGGAACTCGAAAGAAGGATTAAGCTGATAGATATCGCAATGCAGCCAATGATATATCTGCAGAGAATCGGAAGAGATTGCGGTGAGATTGGATCTGGCGCAAACTTGAAGGATCGGGTAGGCAAACGGGGTTTAAAGAGTGACGTTTGCAACGAAAAGTATAACTGATACTATCGCAATGAGTGTGGGAGAGCGCTGCTCTAGGGCTAAAGACCGTAATGGGGTACGAAAAGGTAAAAGCGATGTGCAGAGTTTGCAGCAAGGAAGAAGAGGGAGGAGAAGCCCTAAATACCAACAAACGACTAAGTTTGACAAACACGAGTTCTGCAGTGGCTTCGAGGTGATAGGCTCGTATTCCCTGCAGCCGCTTCCCTTCAGCGAAAAGAATTCGGGGAACAATTCTCATCCAATGATGACCGTGCAAGGGACTCGGCTAGATGAGTCTACTGGCCATTCGGGCCTGTCAGGCATGCGCTCTTGACCGGTGTCTCACGTCGCCATGAAAGATGGATAGCTGCCAGCATTACCCGTCGGAGTCCATTGAGGTGAACAAATCATCGTGTTTCCTTTCATGGCCGCCGGAGTCAAAGAGTCACCCAAGAATAGATAGATTACAAAACTCAGTCTTCAAGGGACCAGCGCAGCGGCGAATGACGTGGGTTATCCGATTCGGGAGTGCGTTGGCGATGCTGCGGTTCGATTGTTGGGGCTAGAACGAGGCTGAGACTTGAATGATTCGCTGATGACGGGCGGTAGGGCGCTCACTCTGCAGCCAAATTAGCTTCGGTTCCTGAGATATTGGTCAGGCACCAGAAAATTCTAATCCCGTCGTTTAATTAAACCGATGACTCTTAAGAGATTAGGGCTACGGGAGGAGGGGATTCACTGCCTTCCACGCTACCTATGTCCTCCCGGCTCTTTTCGTGGCGAACAGGACGAGGAAATCCAACAGGTAATACCACCCTTTTTTGGTGGAAATAAGTCGAAATGCACATACCTCTCGTCAAATATTTGGTAATTCCTAACACAAGTTGGGCGTCTACTGAGGCCTTCACTGTTTCCGGAGTGTTTCATTTTCATCTCATTCTTCAAACCGTAGATCCCCCTGTTTGACCGCCTCCTGTCTGTGAGACTCTCCATCTCATCGGGGTAACCAACAGTCATTCATTCATTCATGATTTACAAAGATACATACAAACATTGTGTTGGTGGTAAAGAACTGGTAATCCACAGGATATGAATTTTTCTTCTGCTGCTGCCTCATCTCTTAGTCAGACAGAATCTCGCCCAATGAGCTGAACTTTATTTGAGGTAATAATCATAAGTGTAAAAATAGATTCTCATACAACCAGCGTAGATCGGCGAATGGTAATTATAGGTCAAGGTGCTCTACACTCGACCGCTTCTCCGTCCCATCCAGCGACAGTAGAGAGATCGAACGCTCGGCAGTTGGTCGCACCGTTTCCAGCTCCTTGGTCTTGGTGCAGATCCACGTCGAGGCATACATGTTCACCCTACTTCAGTCAGTACTACTTCTCTCACAATCCTCCGTGAAACGCAAAAGAGTCAAACTTACCGGTCAATACATGTTCCCGGGAATCGGGCGCCGACACGTCGCGCAGAAAAGCCGTTCTCCTCAAAGTGCCGCACGTACCAAGGGTCGATACTAGCCGAACGGAGCAGTATACGACCGCCCATTTTCAAAGCGTGGTTAAGCTTCTGTGCTTGTACCGAGGCATCGCTACCCTCAGGGTCGAACCAATCCATCGAGTCCATGACCTGAGACGGATGTCAGTCCAGTCGAGCATGCTGTAGCTGATGGGGCTACACTTACCACAGCAATGGTTAGGCTGCCCGGTGTTATCCGTTTGATCACTTCGTTAATCTCATCTGTGTGGATACGAAGACCGTCAAAAGCTCCCGGAGACGACAGCTTCACGTGCGCTTTGGGAGACAGGTAGGTGGGATGACATCTGTCACGGTTAGTCAGGACGCCTTTTGAGCCCGCCGAGAAAGCTCACCTTCTGGAGAATTGCCCTTGTAGACACAGGAAGTAGAAGTAATTATCGTTGCTGATCAAAGTGTCCTTCACAACAGGGTCTAGAGTATCCACCACGTATTCCCAAATCGATCGGCCGCTGATGTCCTTAGCCTGCTTCATATCTTTGTTGAGGCCATTTCGCTTGAAGAAATCGTCAATGATCATGTTTCGCTGATTACGAGGCACGCCTGCGGCCTTCCAAGCAAACCATTCGGTTCCGACGACAGCCCAATGAAGAGGCTTGCTCATCAAGACTGAGCGGATACGTGGCCAGATTTCACGCTGCTCAGCTAGAGTCTGAGCCTCGCACAGTTTCCGCACTTGGCCTTCGAGTCCGAAGACCTTGAAGAGATAACGGACCATCTTAATTGCGTGGCGTGAGCCTCCAGTCTCATAGAGTCCTCGACTGTAAGAGGAGGTGAATATGTGGGCATGCTCAAGCCAGTACTGGAATGCTTGGCTTGAGAGGTGTGGGCTCAGTCGCGAGATGAGAAGTTGGCGGAATTCAGAGTGCTTTCCTTCACCGAAGATCTTCCAGACATCACGGTGACCAAGGGTAATGAAGCTTGCAACCTTGAGTTCAAGGAGATGGTTCTGGTTAGGATTCAAGTCAACAGCATGCACGCGGCGTGGGCTCTTCTGGAGATAGTCCAAGATGTTGTCTCCTGCACTTGTAATTGCCAGGATCACGTCGTCTCGTTGGATGTTAAGTAGACGGTGATCTACACGAGGATCTTCCCAGTTGAAAGCGTAAATGTATTCATTCTTAAACTGCGTGTGCTTGGGAAGCAGGTCGTTGTAGAATATCCGGTAGTGGTGGTTTTGGTAGAAAGATGATGGAAGGGGGAGGTTGGAGCCCAGGTTGATGACGGCAGATTCGTATGCTTTGGAGCGTACTTCCTGTGCGCTGAATTCAATGGCCTTATCCATCTCCTGGAGATGGTTCGCAGGAGAAAGGTATGGCGATTCAGTGAAGGAGGCATCGAGTTTCTCAATGGCCTCCCTGCCCGATTGGCTTGAGGTGATATCCTTCTGGCAGCCAACGAAGATGTAGTACGGGATTCCTCCGAGGAGGTAATTTCTTTCACTGGCTGAGACAACCGTCCCGAATCGATATTCCAAGTAATCCCTGCGCGCAGCCTCGAGACTGACACGATCAACATCAAACCAAGCACGCCAGAATACCCGGCCCAGCCAGTTGACATGACGGTTGAAGGCACCCCCGGTGTAATTGCGGGACGAGACATCTACAATGCTTTGGACTATAAGGAGTTAGTCATCTACATGCTGCCCATAACATAACAATACGAAAAATAATTCTAGTTTGGCATTGCGAACAGTCAACATCGAGGGACACCTACCGTAGAAGTCACAAACTCCCAGTACTCCAGACGGCTTCAACAGCGCCGGCAGGGAGTCAACGACGCTATAATAATCGGGTATCATCGATAGACTGTAGCTCATAGTAATGAGATCTGCGCCCGGTGTGATCTTTGCCCGTGGATCAACGCTGTCTGCGTCCGGCAAGCGGAAAGTCCGTGCATCTTGACAGACGACACTGACGTTCTTCCACCCCAATCGCTCAAATCGTTCACGAGCTACCTGACAGAGGGAAGGAGAAAGGTCGACCAGGTAGACATGGGAAAAGAACTCGTTCACGGGTAAGAAAGCCGACATAGCTTCGATGTTGTATCTGCACCACAGTTAGAGCGAACCAGCATTGGCATTTCGTCTGTGCTCACCCGGTACCACCACCAATCTACATGGTCAGCAACGCCCCAGATAATTGTAATTGAAGAGGTAGAAATGATCTTACATCAACCCAAACTGCCTTCCCAGCTTTGAATTCTTTGTTCCCCGCCTTAAACTTCAGCTGGGCCGCAACGAGACCAAGCATGTCCTCTCGGCCACGTAGAAGGCGCTTGCGCGTGGCATCATACGCACCAGCCTATTATCTTTTTAGCAATTGGATCACAAAGTCTCGTGGAATTCATCAAACACGCACCTGTGTCTTGTAGAAGCTCTCCAGGGCGTCCTGTTGGCCATTCCCAGTTTTGTCATGGGGCTTAAGGAATGTAGCATAAATAAACTTCAGATAGGACAAGGGGCCGCCATTGTTGTTGAAGTCGGCCTTCTGTTTCTGAGAGGATAATAAAAGAACAACGGCGACCAAGCCGCAGACAAGGAAAGCAGTGCCGGCGATGTAGGCATAGAGCCAGTCCATGCGGTTCGCGACACCGCCTAGGCTACTACTTAGGGAGCTCATGGCGTTGAGGTGTGGTTGGAGAGAAGTTGATTTCTCCTGTTAAAGGAGAGAGACAGACATGAATCTGGCACTGAAAGAGACCCAAGGACGAGGAAGGAGGGCCTTCTTGAATCAAACGCCTCCACCAGACCACCAGCAGGAGAACGGCGTTGAATGCATCGTTTTAGTGCCCCACCATGCCCCTCTATCCATTACAAAGACCGGATTCAAACGAAGGGATAGCAACGCGATGTCCTATCAGAGACACACATGGGCGTGGCAAGTGATAAGCTGCACCGGCTCAAAGGGGAATTTGATCGATAACTGCGGGAAGACGAGGATGAAAGCAGATCCTCTCACGAAGCTCCATTGGCTCCACGAGGCCTGAGGCGAATCATCGTGGAAGCAATTGAGTCCAACTAAGGACATTAAACTCCGAAAATGAACGGGTCATTATCTTCTCAGGTCGAAGTTTAGCAACGACGCTTCCACTATGGGCGACGGGGGATCTGCTCGTGGAGCTGGAGCACCGACGCAAAGGGATCCGATCCATCTGCAGAAACCGACAAGTCAGAGGGCAGTATGTCTACATGTGTGGACATGCACTGGCCATCAGGGAGTCAAGGAAGAGGCAAGTCGTGGGGAAGAAACGAGAGCCAAATTACGGATGATGTTCGAGTTCCTGCGTTGCATACTTCGGTTGCGCCAATCAGCGGGCGGCGTCCCGGCACACTTTCCCCCCTGGCGGATCCATTCGACCATCGCCGTTGATGCAAGGGAAAATCACGGTATGAGAACAGTCTCTCAATTTATATACCTTTCCACTTAAAGCGAGCACGACGGTCAACCCGGACGACAAAAATTGAAGCCCGTGGTTCTAGTTTCAAAATTAGAATGGAGTTGGGTGGGAAACTGTACTCTAGCACCAGTACTACGGACCTACTGACCTAAATATAGGGTTTATACTTCTACCATCCAATTGACCCCTTTTTTTGCTTTGTATTAACCCCAAGCCTTCACCAGAGCGAAATTTCTCTTAAATGGGCACAGACCTGCTGAATCTAGTGACAAAGCAAGCGCATTGGGACTATCAATCGGGATGAATGTCCAATGTTTTGCCACGAATAAATGTGCTAGCGAAATCTCGCATTTTCCGTACCACTCTGCTCTCGACCGAGTCCGACAGGCCTGCCTCTAACTAGTACAGTGGAGCCCTCAATTAGAGTGCAAAGCCCATACCGTGTACCGCTCTTAGCGGGCGAACTTGGTGGGCTTCATGCCCCACTATCGCAAAGGTTGAATAGGTACCCAGAATCATATTACAAACTGAGATGAGAAGACTACCAATGGAACCTTTGACATTCAGGGAAACAATCAATTCGCCCCAGCGAACTATGAAGTTGTCTATTCTGGAATCTTCACTACAGCTCTCCCATCAATTTCGGAGCGTCCAAGTCGCATCACCACATCATTGATCTGATCAAGTTCAAAGCACTCAATATGTGCTTGCACCTCACCCGCGACAGCCATCTCCATCAACTCGTCCATCTCCTTTGCCGTTCCAGCAGAGTTTCCAACAATAGTCAACCCTTTAACAATCATATCAAATGGAGTCGCCGGTAACCTGAACGGAACACTGGGTATGCCCACACAAACCAGAACCCCAAGGCTGCGAAGTAATCGCATACTCTGCGTATACGCCGGTTCACTATTGGCGGTGCAGATTACCCCATGGGCCCCGAGCCCACCTGTCAGTTTCTTCACTTCCTTTTCGATATCGTCGACCTTGTAATCGAAGAAAGCGGTAGCTCCGAGAGCAAGGCATAGCTCCTTTTTCTTTTCGCCACTAGTGAGAGTATTAGCGCGAAATAATGATCGCTACAACGGTGGGAGGAAGCAGTACCTATCAATCGCAATGACTTTCAGCCCTTTCTTAACTGCAATCTGTACCCCCCTGGAAGATTATCAGCATGATTTAACTTTCACATCCATCTCAGCAGGCGCAACAAACATATGTCCCAGCCCACCGCCAGCTCCAGGGAGAACGATCCAATCTCCCGGTTGTGTCCTCGTCTTCATAATCGACGAGTACATCGCGATTCCCGCTGTAGAAGCCTCAGCACGAATAGAATAGATTCAGTACCCTCGAAGAACAGAACTTACCACACAGCAAGGGCGCAGCTACGTCTGGTGTAATTTCCGAGGGAATCTTGGTGACATGAATAGCAGGACTGACAATATACTCTTGAAACCCAGTTCATCAGCTATTTCACCCCAACAGCATGCTCTGTGGCAAGTTCACTCACGTTGAAAAGTCCCAGGAACATTCTACATCGCAAGCCATATCAGCGTGATGTATACCAACAGACGGGGAAGAAACCCCCCCCCCCCCCCCCCTTTCACTAGAGGAATCACATACCGCGCCTGCATTCTTCTGATAGGGACAAGCCGTATTATTCACCGCGCAAATCTCACAGTTCAAACAGGAACTGTATAGCCATCTGTCATATTACGTTAACACAAACAACAAAACAATGAAATAGCAATTATATTCAAAGAGAAGAAAGAAGACTAACCTAATCCCAACCCTTCTCCCAATCCACTCCTGCTCATCAATCCCATTACCCACTGAAAACACAAACAAAATTAGCATGATCATTATACAACCAACAGCGAACCCAAAACCAGCAATCTCCCCAGGTCAATTTCAAGTATTGTTGACTTAACAGTACATACCCATAACAACCCTCCCCACCCCCTCATGACCCGCCACATCGGTCAACATCGGCGTTTCCCCGCGAATACTATGCACATCCGAATGACACACCCCCGAATACTCGATCTTGACGAGAATTTCTCCCTCGCCGGGGGAAGGCACGGGGTGATCTGTTTTGATCTGGAGGAGGGCATCGGCAGTTGCGCCGCATGGGGGGAGGACTGCTGCGATTTGGGTTTCGGGGATGGTCGTCATGGTTGGGGTTGGATATGCGGGGTTAATGTGGTGTAGTTATCCAGTTGTTGTTGGTGGTGGATGAATTCAAGGGAGGGGATGAATGGGAGCTGGGCTAGTTATGTGACTAGCAGTAGGCTACTTGGGAGATCTTAGAGTCTATTTATATAGTTTTTCTGTGAAGAAAGGAATGGGGTTACATTGGATTGAAAGTGGTGTAGATAGTGCTAAGTCAATGCGTTAATGCATGATCGGGAAATGATCTAGGGCATTGAGGCGGGGTTTATACCTTTCTGTATCTGGGCACATGATAGGCGGTGGTGGTTGTAGGTTGATAAGATCTGGCTTCTGGATCGGGTAATTCGATCCTATATGGATGGACCTAGCTGTTAGAAAATGGTACTACTAGGTATGTAACGTAGTATAATCTCGTTGAATTGCAATCAATTACAATTGCCCTCCCTTTTCGCCGAAAACGATGTATACGGCTCTGTGGATAACGGAATAGCCTACCGTCTAACGAGCATACTCCGTATAGCCATGATACGATACAACACATACGACTTAAGAAGTGATAATACATATAGGGAGAATTACACTGCAACCCATTACTAAAAACAACCCAATCTATATATATGTGTATATACCCTATATTCCCTAGTACCTAAACCTCGGGTATTCTGATTCAACCTAACACCATAAGCATGCAACGCTTTACGGGAAACAGACGCTGGAAGAAGAAGAGAGAAGAGGGGGAAAAGGATGTCGGAGAGGAGTGGGAAACCAAAACTGGGTATAGCAAGATAAAAGGAAGAATCAGTTGAGAGAAGACCCGTGTTGCAATCTACACATCCCAGCCACCCCCAGAAAAGATAAGATTCTCGGTAGTAATAGGGTTTCAAGAAGAAAGAAAGAAAGAAATAAACAAAGAAAGGCAACAGATACAGACCGAGATGATATATCCAAAGTCATTCTGTATCTCGATTACGCACTCTCACGAACCTTCTGCTCCATTCTCTTTCTCGCTGCCAGAATCATATCATCCCTCCGCTTCTGGAGTATACGCTGACGTTCCTCCTTGTTCTGTGACCAGCCAGACGAAGGAGGCGACTGAGTGGTCTCAGCGCCCTCGGTGGCGACTTTGCCGCTGAGGTTGTATCGCGAAATCAAGTCCTGACCATCCAATTTCGATGCCGCGGAGGCGGCGGCAGTTTGTGCTGTGGGCGCGCTGGCCTGGGGGATGGCGACCTGAGGCTGGAACGAAGGTGGTGGCTACAAGGACATTCCTAGTCAGTACACAGCTTACCCCACGCGACACTCACACATCAAAATAAACCTATACTTACTGTCTCCAGTCCTCGACCTGTCAGGATGCGTTCGGTGGTTGCTGCGACGTTACCACCATTGCGCTGCAAGTCCCACATAATGTCGCGTGTGCTTAGCTGAGGGAACATCTGCGATATTTGTTCCACTTGTGCTGGGTCAATGACTCCGCGCGCACGGCTGCGACCGCTTCCATCACCTCCATCGCCGTCACGCTTGAGGAACCATCGGATGACGAAAAACGACACGACGGCGAGCGTCAGTAGTGAGGAGATGTTCAGGGACGGCTCCTCCTCGGGCATGGTGTCGGGAGAGGGGTCAAAGTGTACGTGAGATCCCGATAATCGCAGTTAAGCGAAGAATTCAAAAACACTGCCAGTAAATAGGCAGAAGGCCGTGTGACAGTGACGGGCTATGGATCGGGGGTCGGGGATCGACGTGAACGCTTTCCGGGGGAATGACGTCCAGGAGGGAGGCGGTCGGAGTAGTTATTTAATTTAGAACTTAGATAATAAAATGTGGCGGTGGAAGACGTTCAGCCGGGCGCCACACTCGGGACTCGGAAAATGACCCACCAGAGGTTCGTACTGATAGACGATGAACAGGGAGACAGGCAATTACAAAGGAGAAATGAACGACACGCTTTTGAAGGCTTTAAAGCACGTGAAATGGAGAATAAAAAGGTCTGAAAAATGCAGGTTGCCAGGTACGGAGTACGGAACTGGTGAGTTGGACCTCCGAGTGATTTAATTCTCGGGACAATTAATACCAGTCGGAAGTCTGCACCTCCGCGGCTATCACGTTCTCGCCCCATTGCGAAATCTCAACCATGGACTCTTATCGTTTCACTTCACCCCCTTATACTATCAACATCACAGAGGATACTCATGTCATGTGCATCATTAAAGAAAAAAAAAATTGTAGAGACAAGAATGTAACTGCCACCAAAGAAAAATTAAAATAAAGGGAAAAGAAATTCATCCAGATCCATATACATCATCCCGGAAAGAACACCGTCTCCAAAACTCGGCCAAGAACGTTCCACATAATGCGCTCCTATCCCACAATGCCCAACCAAAAAGAAGACTGCGATATATGCATCCCACATCAAAATCTAATACCAAGGAGTACCATGAACAGATTACTTCAAGTCGGCAGGAGTCAAGGCCTGAACAACGCTAGTTCCTTCGCTGAATCTTGTCTTGAAGATACGGTTGGCGTTTTGGAACATGCCGTCCTTCAGAGAGACAACGATGAATTGAGACCCCTTGAAACGCGTCTTGATTAAGCGGCCAATGTTCTGTGTATGAGACAGATCTAGGGCGGCATCGACTTCGTCCAGAATGTACATGGGTGCCGGTTTGAATTGCAAAAGTGCCATAATGAGGGAAAGAGCAATGAGAGATCTGTACACTGATTAGCTGAAAGTCCGCCTGAACAAGTAAGAGGTTCTGCTCACCGTTGTCCACCACTCAGTTCTGTTAAACTCTGCTTCCAAACCTTGCCAAGTTGCACCTTAACTTCCAGGCCATCAGTGATCTCCTTGCCCTCTGGCGGATCCAGCTTAGCGAAACTGCCGGGAAGAAGCATTGCGAAGATCTGACCGAAGTCGCCGTTGACTTTAGTCCAGGTATTGTGAAGAGCCTCCTTCTTGTACTCGTCCAGATTGAGGATGGTCTCTTCAATCTTACGCTTATCACGGACCACAGTCTTCATCATATTCTTCAGGGCAGCCTCCTTCTTCTCCACGCTATCGATCATGTTCATGACCTTAGGATTGATCTTCTTCTTCATACCCTGAGAACGTTCGGTAAGGTTCCGTAGAGTGGCCTTGCATTCCGCAATGTTCTGGTTCTTGAAGTCATAAGGAGTGTTTGCACGGCCGAAATTATCTTTCTCGTCCTCGATCCACTCGTGTTCTTCCTCCATATGGGTAACTGTTTGAGCTGCAGCTTGTTGGTCTTTCTGTAATTTCTCGAGCTGATGCCCGAGCTTCTGCAGGTCAAGGCCCTCTTCAGTGATCTGTGAGTTCTTTGCTTGCATTGTCTGTTCAAGTTCTCGTAGCTCCTCATCAAAACCAGTGAGCTTAGCCCTTTCGTCGTCGAGTTGAGCCTGGGCAATATCGTGGGCATCCTATGACGGATCAGCAGTCAACTCTCAAATATAGCGTCAGTTTTCTTCGTACCTTGATCCGTGCCTGTTCTCTTTTGAGCGATTTGACTTCTTCCTGTTGAGCATTGAGGGCATTCTCAGCCTCAGCGCTCTGTTCTTCGGCAGCTGAGAGATCGCTTCCTACTTGCTCCGACTCCAGTCGGGACGCTTGTAGTTCTTTCTGTAACGTCTTGACCGAATTTGAATTTTTAGCGAGACTCTTCTTCAGAGAATCTAAGGATTCCTGTAGTTCTGCGAGTTTGCTGTCTTTGTTGTCATTAAATTCGCTCATGTCCTTTTCAATTCGTTTGATATCCTTGGATGCTTCCGTCTGGCGAGCTTTTGCGTCGGAAATATCTTTCTTGAGTTGCTCAATATTTGCTTTCATATCCTCGACAGCATGAATAATCTGAGATAGTCAGTCCCGTGTCCAAACTTAGAAAAGACAAAGTGAAACTCACCGACGAGGAAGAGTTGCTGCTGATTTGTTCCTCTGTAAGTTTGATCTCGTGAGTCTTAAGGTCCAGCTCCTGTTTGATCGTTCGGACTGCGTCAAGCTTCTTCTTTTCCTTTCTCATCGTTTCTTCCAGAGTAGCAAGTAGCCGCTCCTTGCTCCGGATTTCCCTTGTGACCTCGTTTAATTTCTGTAAGGTAATGAGGACACCGCTCGAGTTCGGTGAACTACCACCAGATAAGGTACCGGAAGGGTCGTAAACATCGCCATCCAGTGTGACACTCTTGATACGAACTGAGGGGTCGAAAGTCACCTTCTTTGCAGTTTCTGCATCGTTACAGATCAAGGTGTTGCCAAAGACGTAGTTCATAGCCGATGTAACTTCCTCATCGTATCCAATAAGCGACAAGGCAAGGTCCACCTTTCCGGGGGCAATGTTTTGTGCCGCCCCGATCTTCTCGGCAGAAGCTCTGAATGATGATATCTTGTTCAAAGGAATGATTGTCACACGTTTGCGCAGTTTTCCCTTCTGAAGCAACTGCGTTCCTGTCTCTGCACTGTCGACAACAACGTTGTACAAGCGACCACCAGCACAGATTTCAAGGGCTGTAGAAGCTTGGAGCTTCTCTTTGTCGAGCGTAAAGAGCTGGGCGACTAAGCCCTTGACCTTGGATCTATCAAAATTCGGATGGGGGTCGGCATATTGGAAATCGATATTCGCAACCTTCCTTTGAAGACCATCGGCTCTCTGGCGCAACTCACGGATCTCTTTCTGTAAGGCCGTTTGCTCCTGATAAAGCTGCTCTTCTCTGCCCGGTTCAAACCCAAGTCTTGCCAGCTCCGCATCTAATTTCTTGGCTTGAGACTTAAGACCCTCGAGTTCCTTCAGGAGACCCGAGTTCTGCTCCTTCGCTTTCTTCGCTCTGGGTTCCTCTTCCTTGATTCGCTTTTCCAGGTGTGCAATCTTGAGCTTCGCTTGCTCTTGTTCAGTGGATGCCGCACTGGCGCGATTACGAGCGTCCTGTAGTTGGCCTTGATAACCACTTTCTTGGCCATCTTTTGATGCCACACCCGTCTGCAGTGTTTGGAGCAGTTCCTCCTTCTGTTCGACTTCGGCTGTCTGCGCGTCCAGTTCTGCTTTTGCAGCATCATATTGTGCTTGTAACTTGTCGTAGACCTTCTTCTTCTCCTTAAGGAGCTTCTCCAGATCTTTAACAGTTTGCTGCGCTTCCTTGTGTTTCTCCTTTTCTTCCGCAATGCTAGCATTCTTCAAATCGAACACCGTGGTCAACCGGACAAGCTCGTGAGAGTGAGTCTTAACCTCATCCTCAAGGGCCTGGAACTTGCCTCCCTTCCGTAGTTCCTTATCACGAGCCGCTCTCACCCGCTTCACGTCCTCTTCCAAGTGAGCTATCTCACTCTTAAGCTTAGCCGCATTATCTTCGATCGCCTGCACCTTGCGCCTTTTGCTCTCAAACTCATCGCCCGCGACCCGTAACCGCTCGTTACTGCGAAGATAGTCGTGGGCAACCACCAAGCGAGTAAGACGTTCCAGGTCATTCTGAGTCTGTTGGAAATCGAGGAAAGCTCGCTTTTCGGACCGGAGCTTCTCGAGTTTAGGTTCGATTTCTTCCTTTAGGAGGCCTTCGATTTCGCGCAACTTCAGCTCCTTCTTTCCCATGGTCTTAGCCGCTTTTTCCCTTCGATCCTCGAACATTCGCGTACCAGCCGCCTCCTCGATCATAGACAGAATCTCGACCGCCTTCATATTCAGCACCTTCGTAATCCTTCCCTGCATAATCAAGAAATTGGGGTTGTTGATATTTAGCTGCACGCTCTGGAAAAGATTCTGCACGGTCTGCTGCTGCGCACGGTGGCCGTTAATCAAATATTTACTCGTACCGCCAAGAACAATCTGTCGAGTCACGGAGATATTCGCATATTCTTCGAACCCGATCGGCGATTTGGCGGTGTCTCTGTTGTCGAAGACGATGGTCACACTGGCTTTCGTTACACCGGCCTGACCACGCTTGTAGATCAGATCTTGCAGGTTTTGCGCACGGACAGTTGACATGTTTGTGATACCGAGGACGAAACAAATAGCATCAAGGATATTGGATTTACCACTGCCGTTAAGGCCTGTGATGGAGTTGAACGATTCATCCCTAATACAATTTCGTTAGCGCTCTCGTTACACTGCACAAATGCTTTTAGCAAGCATATAAGGCCAAGCCGCTTCTATCCAAGTCGCGCGTTCGGACTAGGTCAGAGCATACCATCCTGATATCACCGTACGCACGGCGTACGATTTGAAACCCTACCACCTTGGGTTAGCATTCTCAAGCTCTCGTCGACGTCGCTGTGCATCAGGAAAGCTTACGTCGATAACGACCTCAGTAATCCTCATGATTGCGACTCCGAGATCAGCCCCATCAACTGGATAACCAAGTGCATAGGAGGGCGCTGGGGACTGATGGCGCACAGTTGAATTAGGCGGTGGATTGTTTTGGCGGGCGCCGTGTTTTTGCGGGCGGCATCATGTTTATTGTTTGCTGTTTTGGGCTTGGTGGCCTCTAGGATGATGTAAGCATGAGGGGTCAAGCTGGCTGGAATGGGGCCCAATCAGGATAGATGGAATCGACTACGGAGTATATCGGAGTACCTTAGATAGGTAGTAGGTACACACAGCAGCAGGGACAATTCTCACGCAATTGTATGAAACAGGTTATGTGCTAATTTATCCCTTGTCCAAGAATCTGTGGACGGCAAGAAAATGAAAAATAACAAGAAGAAGACATTCAATAACCAAACAGAGCAAGATTTTCGCTAATTGAAATCCAGCCAGTCAACGCCGTGTTTTGCAGCCTTGACACCAATGACAAGCCAGCCACACCAACCACGCCCCGGCATGAGCCAGAACATTCTACTTAAGGGAGAGATGCAAAGGCAACGAGGTCCAAAGGTATCTCAGGATCATGATACGAATAGGGTATGAAAATATGCAGAGGACAAAAGAAACATATACAGCCATAGTCGTGATTCTGGTGTAGTAGGATATAGAGCTAGGGCGGAGAGAGCACGAAAGGCTCCATTACTCGTCAC